TAGGGAAGGGGATATGATAAAATAGATGCTAATAGAAATATGTCTTAAAAATGCATAGTAAGTTTATGCACCAGGGGTAGCTGTTCTGTCCAGAGACTTTGAAGGAAGTCTGTGTTACCAGCTGTGTCACATCTTTATATTCATGGGATTTTTAAGTCCGTATTTATATCCAGGGTATGTGTATTTGTATTCACGGGATTTTTAAGTCTGTATTCATATCCAGGTTATCTGTTGAGGAGAGCCTTGCTTCCATTTCCATTGATGTGGCAGATAAACAAAACTGTCAAATAGTGAGCATGAGTTTATATTATGCTAAAATGATGAAAGAAGTGTGGTATGAATGACTTGAAGTGGTACAGTTGCAGTACTAGATAAAAGGAGCACTCTAGCTACCATCTGCTAGAAACCTGGAAAAGAATACTTCCTCTGGCCTAATCCATTATTTCCTTGGAAATACCCGGTACATGATTTTGTAACAAATGAATATTATTTCAAAATCATCTGAATGCTAGTAAAACCTCTTGAATTATCCATGTGGCTTATAATAATGTCTTCATGTCTTTTAAATAAAAACACTGTGTCACTGACCTTGCTAAATGACCTGGGAATATTTGTTAGTCAATGCAAAAGAACAGAAAATAGTTGCCTGGGTTTTGGAGAAAGTCATTGTTTAAGCCATTGGATGATTCAATTATCTGTGTTCATGTCACTGTAATGACGGATAGTGGAGGCAATGAAATGTTGGCATGAGTGGTCAAATGCCATTTAAATCTCTTCTTGGATAAATGAAGTAGTCAGAAGGCAGTGACAAAAGGAGAGTAAAGTATAGGAAATGTTTGATTGGAAGTAATCAAATAGAAGTAGAAAAGCCAACTGGTGTGAGAAAGTAGTCAAATACATCTTTAAATAACTTGCTAAACTGCAACAATGTAGAAAGGACTGAAATATAAGTCAGAATACATACTGAGAGAGTGAAGAGTGACTTTTAATGTGAAAATTTGAATCCACACTGGACAACTTTATGCTGAACTGAAAAATAAATGCAGAAAGAAGCGTGTATTTCTCAAAATAATTGGCTTCCTGGTCACAGTTTAAACATACCTGCCATGTAGTGTGCCTTTTAGCATGAAACTTTGTCTAAATACAAAGTAGGAGGCCCTCATTTAGAAAGCGTGGGTTTTGTCCTCAATATGTTTATCAGAGCTTTGAGAACCCTTTCCTGTTTTGGCTTTAAGTGAAAATAATGGGGTGATTTTGTTTTAATTGTCCCTTTAATGGAATTTAGCCTTGCCCATTGTGGTGGATATGTAGAGAACAGGAACTGGATTTCTGGGCTCTCAAATATATAAAAAAATAAGTCAGACATCAGTTTCAAATAACTGTATGCTCAGATTAGTGATTCCCTGGATCTCTGGGTTGTACAGATAGAACGTATTTGTGCCTAAGAAAAATACACAAAGACTTGAGATGAAGTAGCTCCAACATCGATTTTTATATCTTAGCTTCACAGAATTTGTTAGTGGTGCTAGTGTTCTCAAGACCCTTAAACTGTTCAAAGGTGGTTTTTATCAGCTAGTTTTGATATTGCTATTTAGTACTTGTGATTTCAAATGTTGAGACTAGAGAAGAGTTTAAAATAATATATTACGCTGGCAGCCTCTGTAAATAATGTACGTCTGGCCTTTTTTAGGTTTAGTACTTTATCATGCTGTGTTTTGACGTTAAGAAAAAACCTGCATGAACAGGATTAAGCTGACGTAATTATCTTAAATGGTTTGATACTCTAAAAACATCACTACAGTTTAACTATTTGCTGTAATCCTTATTAGTTTCTTATCAGTGGCTGAGTTGTTTAAATGCCCCATTCAACTTCTAAGAAACTTATTTCCACCAGAAATACTCCTTTTGCTTAACCAGTGTTTTTGCACGTTAAAAGAAGTTAACTCAGCAAGTTCCCAGATAACACAAAGTGGGAGGAGTGGTCGATATGCCAGAGGGTTGTGCTGCCATCTAGAGGGACCTTGACAAAAACCTCATAAGGTTCAACAAAGGGAAGTGCAAAGTCCTGCACCTGGGGAAGAAAAGTCCTGTGCACCATTACACACTGGGAGCCACCCATCTGGACAGCAGCTTTGCAGAAAAGGAGCCAGGGTTGCTCGTGGACTGCAAGTTGAAACTAAGCCAGCAATGTGCCCTTGTGAGAAAGAGAGGCTAGTAGCATCCTGGGCTGCATTAGAAGGAGTATTGCCAGCAGGTCGAGGGAGGTGATCCTGACCTTTTATTCAGCACTGGTGAGGCCGCACCTGGAGTGCAGTGTCCAGGACTGGGCTCCCCAGTACAAGAAAGACATGGACGTACTGGGGAGAGTCCAACAAAGGGCTACAAAGATGACTGAAGGACTCTTCTGTGAGGAAAGGCTGAGACCTGGGTCAGTTCAGCCTGGAGAAGAGAAGGCTCAGGGATGGAAGGGGTTGAGCACACCCGTCACACACGGAGATCTCCTCAACATGTGTAAATACTTGAAGGGAGTGTGCAAAGAGGAGGGAGCTAGCCTCTTTTCGGTGATGCCCAGTGACAGGCCCAGAGGCAGTGGGCACAAACTGAAATGCAGGAGGTTCCCTCCGGACATCAGGAAACACTTTTTTACTGTGACGGTGACTGAGCATTGGCACAGGTTGCCCAGAGCAGTTGTGGAGTCTCCCTCCTTGGCAATTTTCATAAGCCATCTGGACACCGTCTTGGGGAACTGTCTCTAGGTGGCCCTTCTTGAGCAGGTGGATTGGATCAGATGACCTCCAGAGGTCCCTGCCAACCTCAACCTTCCTGTGATTTTATTTGCTGTGAGTAACAATTCTTATCAATGAAGGCAAGTCAACTTTAAGCATGATTAGCATTATAATTAATAGAAAGAGGAGACAACAGCACTATTTCCATTCCTTTAGGTGGAGCAGTGTTAAGTTTTGGTGTTTTTTTAACTCTGTTCAACTCTTTTACTTTTAAATGAGTTATCCTACTCTCACTCTGACAGCCCTAGTGTCTTAATCTTGTAAATCTTATTAACCTCTCTGAATCAATATTCAAAGGCTAAATTTTTATCATAGGTCCATTGTAAATGTTAGGATCTCTGACTCTCCCAGTTGAATCTGTTTTACAGTAGCATCACTCCACTCACTCCAAAGGAAAGACATATGATTTACAGTGTTATAGGTGCTGAAAAAAAAATCATGCCTAAGTAAAATGATGAGCTCTACATAAAGTTTAAAAGGAATATGGGGAAATTTATAGTCTAAGAGACCAGGGAAACAACAGACTGATGGAGAAGTAAAAAGAGGAAAAGTTAATAAATATGTAATAATGAGAAGGACAGCATAAAGAAGAGAGGAGGAACAGGAAAAGGAAAGGAAACAGAAATGTTGATTTGTAATTATTTGAAAAATATGATAAAGTGCAGGAGGTGAGAAGAAGAATTTGGTTTTAGGAGCTGTCTCTTTATTACTGCCATCCTGGGGATTACTTTTATTCTACTTTTATGGTTCTTGTAAATCAGCACTAACATTGCTCAGGGACTACCATGCTGGCTGCCAAGAAGACTTACAATCAACAGCTCCCAAGTTAAAGTCCTGAGCATCAAACAGAGATATTCTTCTGGAGTGGATTATCCGGGCACTCCCTGCCACCCCACAAGTGCCCTTGACTGGCGTCGCGCAGGTGACTGGACGCTTTCTGCTGTGGTGCAAAAGGCGATGTTGCTTCACAGCTTTTCTCCATCAGTGGTACAGCTGAATCCTCACCACTTAAGCTGGTAATAATCAAGGTCATCCCTCCCACGACACAGCTGAACCATCTACCTTGTACTCCAGTAAAGCTTTCGACACTGTCTCCCATAAGAACATCACAGAGGAGCTGTATGGACTGGAGGAGACAGTGAGGTGGATTGAAAACTGACTGAATGGCTGGGCCCAGGATCAGTGGCATGAAGTCTAGTTGGAGGCCACTGACTAGTGGTGTACCCCAGGGGTCAGTACTGGTTCCAGTCCTGTTTTATGCCCTCATTAATGATCTGGATGATGGGGCAGAGAGTACCCTCAGCAAGTCTGCTGATTACACAAAACTGTGAGGAGTGGTTGATAGACCAGAGGGTTGTGCTGCCATCTAGAGGGACCTTGACAAAAACCTCATAAGGTTCAACAAAGGGAAGTGCAAAGTCCTGCACCTGGGGAAGAAAAGTCCTGTGCACCATTACACACTGGGAGCCACCCATCTGGACAGCAGCTTTGCAGAAAAGGAGCCAGGGTTGCTCGTGGACTGCAAGTTGAAACTAAGCCAGCAATGTGCCCTTGTGAGAAAGAGAGGCTAGTAGCATCCTGGGCTGCATTAGAAGGAGTATTGCCAGCAGGTCGAGGGAGGTGATCCTGACCTTTTATTCAGCACTGGTGAGGCCGCACCTGGAGTGCAGTGTCCAGGACTGGGCTCCCCAGTACAAGAAAGACATGGACGTACTGGGGAGAGTCCAACAAAGGGCTACAAAGATGACTGAAGGACTCTTCTGTGAGGAAAGGCTGAGAGACCTGGGTCAGTTCAGCCTGGAGAAGAGAAGGCTCAGGGATGGAAGGGGTTGAGCACACCCGTCACACACGGAGATCTCCTCAACATGTGTAAATACTTGAAGGGAGTGTGCAAAGAGGAGGGAGCTAGCCTCTTTTCGGTGATGCCCAGTGACAGGCCCAGAGGCAGTGGGCACAAACTGAAATGCAGGAGGTTCCCTCCGGACATCAGGAAACACTTTTTTACTGTGACGGTGACTGAGCATTGGCACAGGTTGCCCAGAGCAGTTGTGGAGTCTCCCTCCTTGGCAATTTTCATAAGCCATCTGGACACCGTCTTGGGGAACTGTCTCTAGGTGGCCCTTCTTGAGCAGGTGGATTGGATCAGATGACCTCCAGAGGTCCCTGCCAACCTCAACCTTCCTGTGATTTTATTTGCTGTGAGTAACAATTCTTATCAATGAAGGCAAGTCAACTTTAAGCATGATTAGCATTATAATTAATAGAAAGAGGAGACAACAGCACTATTTCCATTCCTTTAGGTGGAGCAGTGTTAACAATTCCTGGTGGCTTTTGGAACAGTTGGTGAAACAAATATATGCCTTTTCACAGTGAATATACTTTTTTTTTTTTGTTTTGGTAACTATTCATTTTTGTAGTAATTTTTTTTCTGTAATGTAATGATTTAATCAGCTTTGAGTGTTTTTCTTTCGCAAAGAAGATTATTTGCAATTTTTAACTGCAGTATTTATTTAACTTGATTCTCTGGTGCTACTTTTGCTTCTAGCATCTAAGTTAATTTCAGTTTTTTATCATTCAAGTTTCAGATGTAGATAAAGAAGACTCCTTAGTGTTTGCTGGCTTTGTCTTTGAGAACTAAGCAACTGAACTTACTGTTCCTTGTAGGCAGGGTATAGGCAACACTCTCATATGTACATCTCTTATGTAATATTATGTATAATAAACATGGTTCTGGGTGATCAAAGAGACTTCTGATTACCTTCACTTACTCATCCACACACTGAGCCTTTGTCAATCATTTAAACTGCTAAGGTTTTGTTACCTGCTTTTTGTTCTAGGTGAAAAATCAGAGGAAGTTCATTTAGGTATTCCCAAAATCTATGAACCAATTTGCTCCTTTCATCAGCTACGAAATCGTTTAAATATGTTTTTACAAACATACAATGAGAACATCCGTGGTACTGGAATGGACATGGTTTTCTTTGAGGATGCTATGATTCATCTGGTCAAGGTACAGTCTCACTGGATTGCCATTTGTTGTTGTTGTTGGCTTGCCTTCAATGCCTATGTGTGGAGGTATGCATGAATTGAGGTAAATGACTTCTAAACCTCAAGCAAGTAATTTATTGCTAGCAGATATTTTGTCTGTCACTGTGTGACTAGGCATTAAAGTTCAGTTTTTCTGAAAATACACCAGATAGAACTATTCTTTTATATCTGTCTTTTATGTCTGGTGGGATCATGGTCCTAACTATTCTAATTCTATTTCAATCTTCTTTCTTGTTATTTCTTCTGAGAGCCCTTGCTTTGTTTGGAATAAGTTACATGAAATTCGGGTTAGGACATAATTTGTTGCTTCTGAAGGAGTAGGCACAGCAGAGCAGGAGTAAGTGTAGTCCAAACTTCCTTTGTAGCTCCACAGTATGCTCGCTTCTTTTAAAATTCCTTTTTAGATGGATTGGAGCTGACCATAATTTTTAGCACAGCACAGCAGGATAGGATTGTCCACACAGAATAGGCTTCATACAAAGGAGAAGCTTTTTTTTTTTTAAACTGAAAATCTGATTGTTTCTCAATTGCACAGTGAGGTTATCTGTATTTTGTATCATAAATTATAAAGAACTCAATATTGGATTGTACCATCCTAACAAATAATACAGCAAATATATAAAAAAAATTAATTATAGTTGACAAACACATTGCATCTGTAATTTTCAAAATTTTGGAGTGTATTCTTTTCATTTCACAGAATTGGTCCCTTTCTTTTAAGGTTTCCCCTGCAAAATGGATGATATTCTGCTACAGATTTCTTCAGGAAAATTGTTAAATCATCATCACACTCACTAACATGTTTCTGGTTTACCTCTAGTAAATAAATCTATATAAATTCAAGATCTAGAAACAAACAAACAAACTCCCCCCCCTCTTCATTGTTGTCAGGAATCTCTTCTTTGGGTAGCTAGATGGTAAACACCTGAAATGTTATCTTAACTTTCACTTCATAAAATGAATATATAGTGCTTCTCTGATCCTGTATTCTTGAAAGCAACATTTACAGCTGTGCAGGTCTGAAATTTATGCATTAGCTAGACGTGAGACAGTTTCGAAGAGAAAGATAGGTAAGTACAGTTAAGATAATGCCTAATCTGAGGTGATGTAGTATGACTTGAATGAGTTAAAGCTGATGAGTACCTTAAATGGAGAACAAAGCTTCCAGTTTACAGGTTATGTGCCTGTGCCTGGAAAAGATCTAGTAGCTATAATTGAAGTGATCGGCAATATTCCAAGGGTGGTATGCAAATCTATTTTACTGTCGCTGGTTGAGTACTAAGTATACTTAGAGTAAATTTTCATACTTGATTTTGTCTTTGCTTGTAAAAAGTCAACCTATGAAAAATAACAAGTATGTTGCACTTTATACGTAACGTGTATGGATTTAAAATGGCAGGAAATTGGTGTGACTATTTTTAAGAATTTGAAAAAAAGCATGTTAGATGAAAGGCAAGTAAACAGGTATCCCAGGCTGCTTATCGGTGTGGTGGAGTTCTAGGGGTACCAGAGGGATGTTCAAGACAGAACAGGAGCCAATACTCTGTGTCATTGCTTGTGCAGAAGAGACCAGCAGCTAACCAGCTGGTTGGTATTACCTTGCCTTTGAGAGACAAGTGGCTCCACGCTGTTCTGGAAATTAATGCAGGCTCTTCTGTGTGCTAGGAGTATCTGTCCTTGTGCAACTGATGGGGTGTGGAGTAAGTTTGTCTCCTGTGCTTAAAGGCATGTTTTCTCAGCATCAGGTAACATCTTCCACCTGTTTCCAGATTTCCTGGCATTGTATTTTGGCTGTGGATGGTGGGACAGGTGCTGTACGCAGTTCACAGTTAGTGCTGAAATTTTTTTTGCTCTGAAGTGCAAAGGGTCTGTTCGTTTACATTGCACTGTCCTGAATTGAAGGGAAGTGTGGAGTAGTGGGTAACTACTGCCTTTTGCTTTAAAAGGTAAATAATGACATGGGAAAGAAGGGGAAATCTACCTGGGTGATGTTCCACAGAATCACAGAATAGTAGGGGTTGGAAGGGACCTCGGTGGGTTATCTAGTCCAACCCTCCTGCCGAAACAGGGTCACCTCCTCAGTTTGTGCCCATTGCCCCTTGTCCTGTCACTGGGCACCACTGAAAAGAGCTTGGCCCCATCCTCCTGACACCCACCCTTCAGATATTTGTAGGCATTTATAAGGTCCCCTCGCAGCCTTCTCTTCTTCAGGCTGAACAAGCCCAGTTCCCTCAACCTCTCCTCGTAGTGGAGATGCTCCAGTCCCCTCACCATCCTTGTAGCCCTCCGCTGGACTCTCTCCAGTAGCTCTTCATCCTTCTTGAACTGGGGAGCCCAGAACTGGACACAGTACTCCAGCTGAGGCCTCACTAGGGCAGTGTAGAGGGGAAGGAGAACCTCCCTTGTCCTGCTGGCCACACTCTTCTTGATGCACCCCAGGATCCCATTGGCTTTCTTGGCAGCCAGGGCCCACTGCTGGCTCATGGTTAACCTGTCGTCCACCAGGACACCCAGGTCCCTCTCTGCTCTCCAGCAGGTCCACCCCAAGCCTGTACTGGTGCATGAGGTTGTTCCTCCCCAGGTGCAGGACCCTGCACTTGCCCTTGTTGAACCTCATCAGGTTCCTCTCTGCCCAGCTTTCCAGCCTATCCAGGTCACGCTGAATGGCAGCACAGCCTTCTGGTGTATCTACCACACCTCCCAGTTTGGTGTCGTCAGCAAACTTGCTGAGGGTACATTCTAACTCTTCATCCAGGTCGTTGATGAAGAAGTTAAACAAGACTGGGCCCAGTACTGACCCCTGAGGGACACCACTTGTCACCAGCCTCCAACTAGACTCAGCGCCGCTGATGACAACCCTCTGAGTTCTGCCATTCAGCCAGTTCTCTATCCACTTCACCGACCACTCATCCAGCCCACACTTCCTCAGCTTCCCCAGGAGGATATCATGGGAGACTGTGTCGAAAGCCTTGCTGAAGTCAAGGTAAACAACATCCATGGCTCTCCCTTTGTCTACCCAGCCAGTCATGTCATCGTAGAAAGCTATCAGATTGGTCAGGCATGATTTCCCCTTGGTGAATCCATGCTGACTACTCCTGATAACCTTCTTTTCTTCCACTTGCTTGATGATGGCCTCCAGGATAAGCTGCTCCATCACCTTTCCCGGGATGGAGGTGAGGCTGACCGGCCTGTAGTTCCCTGGGTCCTCCTTCTTGCCCTTTTTGAAGATTGGAGTGACATTGGCCTTTCTCCAGTCCTCGGGCACCTCTCTTGTCCTCCAGGACCTCCCAAAGATGATGGAGAGTGGCTCAGCAATGAGATCCGCCAGCTCCCTCAGCACTCGTGGGTGCATTCCACTGCGGCCAAACATTCATACTGATATTGTGCGTTTTTATAATCAAGTAAACTAGAAGCTTCAGAAGTTTGATTATAAAGGCAATATTATTACCTGCTGCAGAGAATACTGGAGACTGTTAGTCCTGAATTTAACATGCCTAGGACGACTTGTCTTTCTGGTCACAATGAAAGGGCCTGGAGAGAGAAGTTTTACTGAAGTTGTCCAGAGGGTATGGTATTGGGGAAATTATTGCTTCCTTCCCAATTTTAATAATCTGTCATGCTATGATAGAATTTCACTAACAAATCACCGTTGAGATTTACGTGTGCTTTGTGGAAGTGTGAGGTGCAATTCTACTGATAATTGAAGAGAAGGCTTTGGGGAGACCTTATCTGAAGGCGGCCTACAAGAAGGCCAGAGAGGGACTTTTTACAAGGGCGTGTAGTGATAGGACAAGGGGTAATGACTTCAAGCTGAAAGAGAGTAGATTTAGATTGGACAGAAGGAAGAAATTCTGTACTATGAGGGTTGTGAGGCACAGGAACACTGGAACTCTCTGGAAGTGTTCAAGGCCAGGTTGGATGGGGTTTGAGCAACCTGGCCTAGAGGAAGGTGTCCTTGCCCATGGCAGGGGGGTTGGAACTAGATGATCTTCAAAGTCCCTTCCAACGCAAACCATTCTATGATTCTGTGGAATCAAGTAGTTGCTGTACTTTTGGAAAGTTTACAGAAATTATTGCGAAGTGCAAATGTCCATAGAATATACTAATAGTAACATAGAATCCTTTATTTAAACCTTACTTTTTTTTTTTTTTGTTCTGCATTTCTAATAACGACTTTATTACTGCAGTAGCATAGGATTTTTGGGTGTGTAACTTTTACACATTGTAGGAATAAATGACTGTGATCTTATACAGATTTCTCGGGTGATTCGCACTCCTCATGGAAATGCTCTTTTAGCTGGAGTTGGGGGCTCAGGAAAGCAGAGCTTGACAAGACTGGCATCTTTCATAGCTGGCTATGATACCTTCCAGATAATGTTAACAAGGTGAGCATTAATTAGAATTTAAAGAAGTGTGTACTTTGTGCTTGAATTTATCCTATAAATGTTCCCAGTCTCTGCAGTGGGAGAAAGAACAAGCTTAACATAGGTGAAGCACTGTTGCCTAGAGTGGAAAGACATGAAAATCCTTTGAGACTTACGAAAGTTGCTAGATTTTCTACAATAAGTCTAAGCTTTCACTGTCTTTGGAGTAGTAAACTGTTTTGTGTGTTTCACAGAATGAGAACGAATATTGGCGGTGTCAAGTTATCTTTACTCTGTGTCTTTACATAGTACACTAAACTGTACTGAAAGTATTTGTAGATGGTATCTACCCATTATGGCTTTATGAGTTTTTCTTGTAATAATTTAAATAATTCCTGTGTGAGGAGGTGGAATCCTCGTCCCTGCCCATAAGTTTAGTAGATCTTATGTATACTTCAGTATTTTGACAGTCTTTTCCAAGTGTATCTTGCCTTATTTTGTGTTGTTCAACCCAACGTGGTTTCTTCTGGAATAAGTCACAAAAGATGTAAAAAGTAAATTATAAATCGTTCTTTGAATATTTTAGAACGAGTGCCTCCCAAAGTGTCTGTAGGACAAATCAATGATCAGGAAATACTTTTGGCACTCAAATAAGATGTTGTTGTAGAGAAGCTAAATTATTTTAATTATTTCGCAGCTGTGTTGGCTGCAGAAGAAATTGTAGATTCTCTTGTGGGGGATCTCATCAGAGGATCTATCTGAAATAGGAATGACTTCAGGAGAGATTACAGTACAGTTGACAAAACAAGCAGTAACAAATTTCTAGATGTCATTCAGAAAGAACTATGAAACCAGTAGAGGATGAAATATTGAATTAAGAAGAAGGTGTGCAACTTCCCACTTAAAGTTGCCTTGGCACCTGAGGATCATAAGAAGACCTGTATAAAGCCCATGAAAAAAACGTCCGGAAAAGGTCTGGGGAGCCCTTACACCTGAAAGTTTATAAACCAAATATGTGCCCCAGAGGAACTAAAGAAGCTATCATGAACAACAGACTGAGTGAAGATTTGAATAAACATAATTTTAGGAAAGACTCATCAAAGATTCTGATAAAACACAATCCTGCCTTACGGACCCCATGGAGTTTTCCAAGTGGGTCAACCAGCAAGTGTAGAAGTTCAATCTGATTGATAAAATTGCACTCTGTGCTTTTCTAGCCTTAAGTGTTTATCTAAAAATCACCTAACAATTTGTGCCAGAATACCTCTGGGAAAAAATTTCAACCCTGCTTGGATAGAATCATTTGCCCTTTGTCCAAAATTTCCTGTTCTATGAGTTCTTAAAGATAATAATTATTGGTTTTTAAATGGTTTAATTTAATTCACCAAGGTAGATGATATTCATCTTTAACTCAGTGTCTATAACTTAAAGTATTTTTTTGATCTAATTTTTTTGTCTAATTTTGAGTAATTAAGAACTCTTAAGAGTAATTAAGTAACTTTTCCAATCATTATTTCCTTGGGCACCTGAAACAAAAGGGCACAGAATATTTGTCTTCCTTGTGTCCACTTCTAATTTTAGTGGTGTCTTTGCTTGTGAAGTGTCTCATTCATAAACACATGTATGGAACCTTATCTTCATGATTATGATATCTTTGCTGAAACACAAAAAAATATCTTCTTAATCATCAAGAAAAAAAAGTCATAAAACCAATGTATTTATTTCCTGAGCTCCTCCCTAGTAATGAGCAGCTATTGTACAATATCTGATTTTTTCAGGTCATACATGAGATCATTATGGTTACGTAAGAAACTCTCAATGAAGTGCATGCAACCACATCTGTTTTAATTCCCAGTGGGCATCTGAGAAACTTCAGCTTTTATTGTACTCCTTTATCCAGCCAGAGAGAGATCATTCCAGTGTAACCTTGTGTATTGGGTTTGCGTGGGAAGGTTTTGGTAACGGGGGGCTACAGGGGTGACTTCTGTGAGCAGCTGTGAGAAACTTCCTCTGTATCCAGTAGAGCTGGTGCCAGCCAGCCCCAAAACAGACCTGCTGCTGGCCAAGGCTGAGCCCATTAGCAGTGGTGGTAGTGCCTCTGTGGTAACATATTGAAGGAGAAATAATCTGGTGTGCAACAGCATTCGGAAGAGAGAAGTGAGAATATGTGAGAGAAATAACTACGCAGACACCAAAGTCAACCCACTACACCTTGTCTAATATTTTTTATGTTTTTTAATCTCTTAGTTTGCTGCTGCTCTCTTTCCTTTTTTTAAAAAATCTGAATGCCACCATTGGTGATGACTTTCACCAGAAGAGCCAACTAGTTTGAATTTTTCAATTAGTCAACAAAATCGAAAGTATCTTATGGCACCCAGCACATGACAAAATACTGTGAGACAATACCTGTCTGTCTTTTCACTTTTTCTAACAAAAGCAAAATAAATAGCGTGATAAGACTTCAGGTTTGGGGCTTTTTTGTTTTGTGTTTGGCTTTTTTTGGTGAGTTTGGGGTGTGGGGATGTGTGTGTGTTTTTTTTTTTATTTTTTTTTTTTTAATTATTTTCTGATTGGTGTGGGAGGTGAAAAAGACAGCAGGAAGAAGAAGAATGGATTAGATATTTAATGTGAGACTTTGACATGAGATATGACTTTGGCACTTTTTTGCCTTCAGTTAGAAGAGTTTGTTTCTCACTTAAATTTGGCTGTTCTTTTACTTTTAACCAGAAGTCCTTTTTAAAAGGAATGAATATGAGTACAACTGTCCTTTTTTGTAGATCGTACAACACTTTAAACTTGATGGAAGATCTGAAACTCTTGTACAGAACAGCAGGACTGCAAGGCAAAGGCATCTGTTTTCTTTTTACAGACAACGAGATCAAAGATGAGTCTTTCTTGGAATACCTGAACAATGTTTTATCATCAGGAGAGGTAAGAGGGCTTCTCATGATCATTTTTCTACATTTTAAATTTTAGAATTATGAAATAAAATAACAATTTATGTGAACATTCTTTTATATGTCAAGGGGCACACTTTGACAAACTAAAACTGAAGTGCTTTTTAACATTACAGTATTATAAAAAATGGAAACAATCCATTATACTAGGTTAAAGTGAGACAAAGCTATTTAAAACTGAGAATGAGTGTCATCATTCCATACAGAGAAATGGCCTAAGTCAGACCCTTTTACATGTGTTGACCAGCTGTCAGGGACATGAAAATAGCTTAAAAAAAAAAAAAAGAGATTTGGGGAACATCACTGAAGTTTAACAAAATTGTCTGTTAAATTAAATGTCTTATTAGTGTACAATTAGATTTTTTTATGTTAAATTGATGTCCAGAATGGATGGAATGACTTTCATGTATTTATTATTTCAGGAGTGTGTTTGAGAGTAATTTCTGCTAGTTATTAGAATATGAAGAGAAGAAAGCAAAGCCACTGTAGATGTATTCTTTGTTTTTCACATGGGAGAGTGGGTTTTCCTTTTACTGCAAGTTGAATTTCAATGTGTATAGTGGTATCAATTCAGTAAAAGTTCTGGTTTAAAGGGGTGGGGTGGGTCCTAATAACTTCAGTGTCTGAAATGTATGGGTCTTCATGAAATGCTATATATTAAGGGAACCTTATGCTATACACTCTATTTTGTGTCATCTCATAAAGCATGAAAAAAACTTCCTTTTTCTCAAAGGTATCAAACTTATTTGCACGTGATGAAGTTGATGAGATCATTAGTGACCTCATAACCACCTTCAAAAAAGAACATCCACGTAGACTTCCAACCAATGAGGTTCTGTATGACTACTTCATGAGCAGAGTCCGTCAGAACCTTCATGTGGTTCTTTGCTTTTCACCAGTAGGTGAAAAATTCCGAAACAGGGCCCTAAAGTTCCCTGCTCTCATTTCTGGATGCACTATAGATTGGTTCAGCCGATGGCCTAAGGATGCTCTAGTGGCAGGTAGGTGTAGGTTTTGTCTTTGCAGATATTTGATTCTCTGATCGATGGTTATGAAGTGATTTTAATTGCTTTGAATTTTGCCAGCGCACTGGTGGAAGAGGCTTACTTGGTTCTGAAATATGATACGGATGTTTCCTTCTTTAAAGCTTGCTGTATTAAACTGTTGAAATATTTCTAACAGAGGAAAAGCTTTGAACACAGTTTGAAGAAAAATCCCCCTGTGGAGCTGCAAGAATACCAGATCGTTGACTGTATTTTTTACTGAGAAGTATGGAATAATGTTAAGAATCTCATGGTACAGTGTAACGAAGACTGGGATTTCAGAAGCTGGATGAAAGCTGAAATAACACATACTGACATATTTTATATTGCCTTGTTTATAAGCGAAAATTTTTTCCTGAGTATTTACTTAGATTTATGTTTTTCTTTCCTAAGTATCTGACCATTTCCTGTCCTCATTTGATATGGACTGCACTGCTGATACAAAGAGGGAAATTGTGCAGTGTATGGGCTCATTCCAAGATGCAGTGGCAGAGAAGTGTTCTGATTACTTTCAAAGATACAGACGTTCTACACATGTGACTCCCAAATCCTACCTGTCTTTTATTCAGGGATATAAAACCACATACAAAGAAAAGCATGCTGAAGTGCAGACATTAGCGAACAGGTAAACTGCTCAGTTTACTACTGCTTTTCTGTCGTTTTCTTGCCCAGATAAGTGTATTCTGATACTCTTTGTTTCAGTGCATGTCTTGTGTCTTTGCCCAGCAGAAGGATTTTTTTTTTTAATAATTTCATAAAATTGTGTGAAGGTGTAACTTGATCAAATATTGTAGTTGCACTTGGAATAGAAGTTAAAGACTACGTATTTCTGGAGGGGGAAAAAAGGTAGTGATGTATGAAGAAGCAAGATGGTGGGGAAAAAGGTTAATATAAATTATTCCTGTGTATTTTTCATGAGTAAAAGAAAACATCTACATTTAATTTCATAATATATTCACAGTAGCATTTAATTTACAAGAGAACAACTTTTTCTTTCCTCGCTAAGTGGTTGTATCCTTCTGATATGAATGCGTAAGAAATGTTTGAACAGGTAAGAAATACCCTTGGCATTTTTTGTTTTGTGATCACATAGACTAATTTAGGCTGCTGAGATTTTTACTTGTAGATTATTAAAGGGGTCTTGATATATTCATTCTCCTTTTCAGATACTTTATTAAGCTAATGAAGTCTATTTGCAGGTTTATCTTCATGTCAGAAATATTCAAATAAAATGTAAAATTAGTCTTAGTATATCAGTTGGTATCACCTTTAAGAAAAACTGTTTTCTCAAGTTTGAAAGATTGGCACAAAGAGCTGGAAGCCTTTAAGAAAGGCTCAAGCTAGTTTATTTCACTTTGAAACATTCTTTGTCTTCAAAGCTAAATTGAGTTAGAAGTCTGTAGTTACGTTATGGGTGAAGACTTGTAAAACAGAGAGGTCTGGTCCTGTTTTCTACCTTCTGATGCCTTAGATGTGCCAGATGAATTAATGCATATCAATTTGTTTCACTTCATCTTAGTTGCATAGTCTGAATTGCTTTGGCAGGTGTTACTCTCTATCTGTTCTCCTGTACTTGTTTAGCTGTCCAAGTACTGCTTAGCCTTTGCAACAGCAGCCTCTGTAGAGGCCACTTCTCTGAAACTTCCCAAGTGAGGACTTACTTTTTGATAGACAAAAAGCACCGTTGAAGGGGCATTTTAATGCTGAATGAGATAAGTGTTATCTCAAAGTTATTTTGCTGTTACTCTCTTTTGATTGGTCTCGATTTCAATATTCTGATTTTATTAGCCTTTTCAATATCCTCTTCAAACAAGACATAGTGATTTGAGATATTTCTCATGATTTTACTGATCTGAAAATGCTTTCTGCTGTCATTAACTCAGTCCTTTGATTATCAGGTTGGAGCTCAACATGGACAGTGATGTATAGGAAGCCAACATAGAGGGTTTTTATGCAATGATAGAGGTATACTGTTTGAGTTAGAAGAGGGTAACAATTTAAGCCACAGACTCTCATAATCTAATTCTTCTTTGTTCGCTTTCTTGATTCTGAAGACATCAGACATCCTGTACAAGTTTTATTTTTGGCGTAGAACATCTTTTGCTAATGTTCGTTCTGATTGATGTGATTCATTCTATTGATGGAATAATTTGGAAAACAGAGTGTAAATTGCATGGGGAATTACGTGCTTCTTGTTTTGCTTTTTAACTCCAGAATGAATACTGGACTGGAAAAATTGAAAGAGGCCTCTGAGTCAGTGGCTGCTTTAAGCAGAGAGCTGGAGATAAAAGAAAAGGAACTTCAAATTGCCAATGAAAAAGCTGACATGGTATGTATAGCCTTCAAGGTGTATTGCTGTTTCATTTTTTTGCTCTTTTTATTTCTTTTATGCTGAAAAGATTAATCAAGTAAAAGGACTGGGAAAAAAGGGACCTTGGAAACGTACAACGGTGATGAAAGTCATCTTGTTTGAGTTTTCTGGCTCTGGAATTCAACATATAAAATTTTACAACAAAAATTAATACATTCTTCCAACTAGGTGTTTTTTTTTAATATTTGGCATGTGGTTTTTCTCATGTTCTAGGTATTGAAAGAAGTTACTGTGAAAGCACAGGCTGCTGAGAAGGTGAAGGGTGAAGTTCAGAAGGTGAAAGACAAAGCTCAAGCTATTGTAGACAGTATCTCGGTTGACAAAGCCATTGCTGAAGAGAAGTTGGAAGCCGCTAAGCCTGCTTTGAAAGAGGCAGAAGCAGCCTTACAGGTTAGTACTTGGACCATGTATAACATTATTTTACTGCTAAGAAGATGGGATTCTTTGAAAAAAATATAAGAGTGCAGGTGCATTGCATAACTCATCAGTTGACAGAAAATGTGTGCAAATAGATATATATTCTGAGGCTTTTTAGGTTGAGTTTTGTTTTTCTTTTTCACCTGAGTACCAAACCCAAAATAGGCAGTTTATCAGAAATAGGAAAGTTTTAACTTTCATTGGAAACTATAGTTGATATATAATGTGCTGTAGGTTGATATTAGACCAGTAACTGAACGTTGATGCTGTTGTAAAACAGCTTGTGTGGAATGAGAGAGAAATGCCTTCCATGTAAAAACATTTATAATTCCATCCAAATCTAAACCTCCTGTTTTATTTTAAGTTTTCACCAATGAATAGCATTTTGAATAAGTTTGCTGATCCACTCTTTTCTGCCCTTAAAAAATTTTCTTTTTTCTTCTGAGTTGTGACATTACCCAGATTTCTAGCATTCACCATGGGACTTCATGTCTTTCAACATACTCTTTTTATAAAGTTTTTTAATAGAGTGATAACACTATGCCCATATCTTTACAAAATGCATCATTAGTGATGAAAAAAGGTTATTTTTTGTTGATCTTGCATGGGGTTTTTTTATGTCTGTTCAGCTGACAGTATAAGAGAATGTCCCTCAAGGCATTTCTGTTGTGAGAAGCAGTAGTGGGATATGAAGTAAACCTATTACTAGAGACTAGCAGGGAGATGGCATCTTGAGAAATATGAAAGAATGAAGGAAAAACCTGAAGGGTAGAGAAGCCTCAAAGGCTGTTTTGTAGATTTAATGGAAGATTTTCCTTTCCACTTGAGAGGCTGCCAATAGCTGCGATGATTAAAAACTATTGTGACATTCCTTCAAGTCATAATCTAAAATATTTGGTATAAATACGTTTCCATGGATCTTCTGAAAGTATGACTTTACTTTGAAGGAGAGGTGCTTAACAATCTCTGACTGCCATGAATCTTGAAGGGCAAAGTGGAGAAGCCTAAATGAAGCCTGATGATGTGACAGCTGATAAGAGTGGAATAAGAGAGCAGGTCTGGATCGTAAGATCCTGATACATAGCTACAGGAGAAAGGTAAAAAAAAGAATAAAAGCCCAGAGGTGGGCAAGCATTCTGACAAGTGCACAAACAAACAGTGCTAACTGGTCAGTTCATGAGGCATGAAAAGCGTACCAGTGTCCTGTGTTCTGTCCTGTATCTTATTACATCTTACTTTCTGGTTTTGGCTAAAGTTACCAAACCGGAACAATACTGTTTTTCTTGAAATTTTGAGTTCTAATAAACAAAAATCTGATTTTAAGGATGTCCTGTAACTGACCCAGGTGGTCTGTGCATCCTTGGTGTAGACTACCTCAAGAGAGTGTATTTTCAGAACCCAAAAGGGTATTGATGGGCCTTGGGATGGAAAACCTACTGCTGCCCTGCTCTAAATGGTGACAAAGGAAGAACTACACTAGCATTATTGTGAGATTTCACTGTGGGGAAAGGTAGTTGGACTTCATCTTGAAATTCTTGCATTGGCTATAATAAATTGCTTTGCCTTGCCTAAAGAGGAAAGAAAAACTATCATAAAAGCATGCCTTTTAGCATGCACATTTGTATTCTCAGCATGCATTCATTCATTCATTCAATCAGAAACTTCTTTGAACAAGAGAATTCTCTGTAAAAGTCTGTATAGGGCTGTATCTTTCAAAAAATGAATCTCTCAGTCATTACGAATTTTCAAATTTCCAGCTGGGGATTCCTGTAATGAAATTCTGCTTGCTGTGTAGACAAATGTCTATTAAAATATTTGATAAATATGAAGTTCACTTCCCAGATGAAAAAAACCAAAATATCTGTGATTGGTTATTTCACTCAATATTTTTACGTATTTTAGGACTGCTAAATGCTATATTAAGAGACAGGTAGGTAAAGAACAGCTTAGAAAATTTTCAAACTATAGTGAGATTAGTTTTTTAAAGTTTGAGTAGGAATTGTCAAAATTCAATAAAACTTAGTTGCACTTTGCCCTGCAATAAAAATGGCACAACCAGAAGTAAATAAATAAATAAAAAAATTAGATGCAACTCTCTTGCCACAATTTGAATGGAAGCAAGAGAGGCTGGGCTGAGTTTCCTAAAGGTCACCAAGGAGAACTGCTTAAAGTTTCCACACAGATATCTGAAATAACTGCTGAATTATCAGGTGCACAGGGAACTCAACAAGGGACAAAATATTGCAGGGAAACAAAAGGCAGGCAGAAGGAAGGTGCACAGGATACTCTGTGATAATTTACAATCCATTTCCTGAAGTATAAACACAAGTAATTAAAATCTTCCGTTATGAATTCCCAGTGAGGCATGTGCCTAGGCTAGATTTGTTACTGTCAGGTACTCAGGCTGATTAAACTGCCTGTGAATAACCAAAGGTTCTGATCCAAATTACGTCTGTTACAGAAGTGGTCCTATCCGTCAGCAGTTACCATTGTTCAGTGTTTTTTTGCTCCGTATGTGGTGCGGTATGCACTACTGCTCATATCCGTACTTCTCTAAGGAGACATCTTCAGTAGACTTTTCTGATAGTCCTTTCTGATTCAAGATGTACACTAGAGTTATGAGTTAGAGTATTAGATTTGCACCTTAGACTTATTTGGCCTGACTTACTAGGGCCTAGGTTTTCATACATTATTATAAATTATTGTTTTTCTTGCAGGCCTGCTTCTGCAACAGGAACATTCCCAGTAAGATGAATCAGAATGTGCTAATTTATACACGTATCAGGCCTTCTCACTGGTTTTCTTAATTCACCTTCATTTGTCAAATATCAACAGAATGCATTTTCCTTTCTAGAGTATGTTTCTGGTCAATAGGTTTGCATTTAAAAAATAGGTAAAAATTTCAAGATGTTTCTGTTTTGTTCTTTGTTTTGTCAAAAATGTGCATGGTAGTTTTAAGCCTTTAGGTGCTGCTGTGGAAGTGGTTGAGCTGAGGTCTCCTAGTAGTTGGTAGGAGGTAGTAGTGAAAATCTGGATGGAGGGTCCTCCTAGCTTCATGCTTTTTAGAGGTAAATTTATTTTCAATCAAAAATAATGAATGATTTTCTTCTTCTCCAATGGATTAATACTGTCGGTGAGTTTGTGGTCTGTGTCTCATTAAATAAATGGTAACAGTAATTGCCTTACCCTTTGTTTTAAATTCATAGACAATAAAGCCTACAGATATCGCCACTGTCCGCACACTGGGTCGACCTCCTCACCTCATTATGCGTATCATGGACTGTGTGTTACTGCTGTTTCAGCGAAAAGTGAACAATGTGAAAATTGATCAGGAAAAATGCTGTACCATCCCATCATGGCAAGAATCTTTGAGACTGATGACAGCAGGGAACTTCTTACAGAACTTGCAGGTGCTTGTGCAACCTTCTTTTTGGTATTTTTTTAATTTAAGAAAATAGGGGACAGTGTTTTTTGCTGGTGTTCCTAGGAGAAGAAGTATGCAAGGGGAATCAGATACACAATAGATCTGAAATGTTAAGGGCTTAAAAAGACGTATGTCATAATGAAATAAACTTGAATCTTTCTGGCAAAGTCAGGTGATAAATCAATTATATTTTTTTCCCAAGTAAGACAATGAAATTACTGTCAGTGACAAATCATTCAAAGCTTTAAGCATTTGGTTTGAATATCCGTTATTTACCTGTTTCATTAAAGCCAATAGAAAGCATCTTGTTTTCCGGTACTTAACTTTTCATTAATTTTCATCATCGCAACTTGTGCAGTGGCTTGCAAAAGAATAGTTGATATTGGGATGTAAAAAATAATATTTTTTTTAAATTTGGGATTTTCATCTCCATGGCATGTGTCTAGGGATGTGGGAAGAGTAACTGGTGAATAAATTCCTGTTCATAATTTAAACTAATAATGTTATGATTAATCTCAGAATAAATTGTACCTTGTCCTGCCCCACTGGATATTATTACCTCTGATTTCTGCATTTTGAGGAGTTTATTTCATCTCTCTTCAGTCTAGCAGGAAATCATAGGTGGCAGGCTTGACCAACTTTGTATGGTTGGTAGTGCCATGGGTGCCATTTATGCAGTATTCACATTGCATCTACTCGTAAGAACTTTTAATTTACTGAGAAATTCAGCATTTCATTGTTTATGCATAAATAAACCTATTTGTGCTTCAGGGAGCAGCTATTTTCCAAGTCCATCCAATGACGGACTTTCATTGTACCTTGTAAATAAATCTTTAAAGAAGACCAAACTTACATAAAATATTTGACCATCAAAATAAATTTGAGGGAGAAAACTGAGAGCTTTTGGGGATGAAAAATGGAAGAGAGAAGTTGGTTTTTTTTTAAAAAAGAGAGGGTCTAAATAAATTCTTAAAATTCAACCACATTCCACTAATGAGATAAGGTAATTTAAGGAGAAAATAGCTGGCTTGCCCGTTGAAAGGACTGTCTTGTAGAATGTATGTTTATGAACCAGAGTTGTGCTTTTCCTCTTTTTAGAAGACTGTTAAGTTACTCAGTGTCAAGGAAAATGAAATTTCAAGCAGGATAACAATGATATTTTTGTATCAACAATTACCTGTGTAACAGGAATGGATAGTGTAAGATAGCGAAGATCATAAATGAAGGAAAACTTTTTTCCATTTTGTAAGAATATAGAACAGAGTGGAATGACTTTGGCAAGGTCTCGAAGATGCATGAGACAGAGAACTTCATATTAGCTATTTGTAAGTAACAGTTGTGATCTTGGTAGTGTTCTGTGTGTGCTGGAAAACATATACATATAGTTTATGTATATTACATACATTATATATATTGCACTTTCTTTTTTTTAGCAATTTCCAAAGGACACAATTAATGAAGAAGTGGTAGAACTTTTGAGCCCTTATTTTGAAATGGTGGACTACAACATCGAGACAGCTAAGAGAGTATGTGGGAATGTTGCTGGCCTTTGTTCATGGACTAAAGCTATGGCTATATTTTTTTCCATCAACAAAGAAGTATTACCTTTAAAGGTAAGTCTATCAATCAGCGGAAGGCACACAAACACCCTTTGCTTCTTCTACTCCCCACCTGTATGCAATTGAAGATTTCATCTGCTGGAAACATCAACTGGTGCGTGCCTCTGTAAGAATTTATTATTTTAAAAATAGTAACTCTACAGTAAAATGTACTATTTTTTGTAAGTTGTCAAAGTTATGAAAGAGATTGTGCAGTTTTATTCCTCTGGGCACCTTATGAATGGGATTAAAACAACTGTCATCTAGTTTAAGTCACTATTGCAATTGCTTTACCTTAATTAGAAATTAAGTAGGAAAAAACTTGAGATCTGGTTCCTTTAATGTTCCAGATCTCAGTTCATAAGAAGACTGTACAGAGGCTCTGTTCATCAGTGTTACTTAGAGATAAACAGGCATAAATGGTTGTTGAAAGGTAAGGATGAAAGTAGGAAGAACATGGTCAAGCAAGATTTTAACACAAAATAGCTTGTATTTGTAACAGGAACGACTGAGAGGGAAGCAAGATTTGTAGCTAGAGGTAGTATCTTTCATTAGACAAAGCATACTGGTTGGAGAAATCAGATAAACTTCCAGTGACAGCAGTCTTTTTTGTAGGCTAGATCAGACTAATTTTTGTGTCAGATGGAAAATGGCTGGTATTCCCAGAAGTTTTTCTGATTATTTTTTCTAATTGATGTTAGATCAGCTGCTTAACTGCAGCTACTCGCAATAAGAACTTCGTTGTAAAATACAAATAAAAAGGCTTTCATGAATGATGAAATCTCTACTGAGCAGTTTGATTTTTAAATGTGTGTACAGTAAAACTCTTTGAGATACATTATAGCAAATGCTTTGAGATGTTGTATGGACAAATACACTACTATGTTTTTATGCTTAATAGGCCAATTTAGCAATCCAGGAGAATCGCCTAACCACTGCTATGCTGGATCTGCAGAAAGCTCAAGAAGAACTGGCTGCCAAGCAAGAAGAATTAGATATTGTGCAGGCAGAGTATGAAAAAGCAATGAGAGAAAAACAGGTGAACTGCTCTTTACAGAAAAGAAGTTGCTACCCTTAATTTAAGGAAAACTTAATGCATTCTTTGACTTTCCCTATTATTCCATGGGAAGGATGTTGATGGACAGAGGAAGAGATATATGTTATTTGGATACTGACTCCTTGGATCCCACCTCTCTCCTTTGCCACTGATCCTCTCCCCCTCTACCTCCTACCTCCTCAAAAACTATTGTATTTGGATAGTTTGTTCAGTGCCTACTACTCTAACATCAAGTTTCATTAATGTATATTATCTGTGTATAATGTATTCAAATTTCTGGGCAGAATTCTCCAGAGTTTATAGGTACCAGGCATTTTGCAGATCGTTTAACATGTATGCCAACATGAACATTAAGAGCAGATATATTAAAAAGTTGAATCACATTTATGACAGGCGTTGATAGTTTGTCCTAATGTGTTTTTTCCATCCTACTTCCCTCCTCCTCTGCACGGTGATGTAAGTGTTTGAGAACACATTTTAAAGCTGTTGTTTAACTACTGATTTAAATAGATGTATGGATTTTTCTGGTCTATGAGATACACAACCATGAACCATATTTCTTGGTGTATGGTTTTCTCTAGACTTTGCTTGAAGATGCTGAGCGTTGCCGTCATAAAATGCAAACTGCCTCAAGTCTTATAAGTGGTTTAGCAGGTGAAAAAGAGAGGTGGACAGAGCAGAGTAAAGAATTTGCCATGCAAACCAAGAGGCTAGTGGGTAAGCTTTTGTCTACACCTTTGAACTTGGCAGATAGTAGTTTGAGTTGTAATGGGTAGTGAAACTGAAAATATTTTGAAATTTCAAACTTTTCCTTTCTAGCTTTTAGCTTCCCTGTTGCTAATATGAGGGTAATTGTTATTAATTCTTTTGCCAAAGCACTGCTATGTAAAAAGTACAATATGAGACTGAAGTTCGTATTTAAAAAAATAAAATTACTGTAACTGTGTAAGCTGTGAGTGGGCTTTTACTTGATGTGTATTACATGCAGTAAATACTTGGGACACTGATATTTCAACTTGAATGATGTTTGTAGGCAGCAGTCCAAAGAGAATGATAAGGTAGAAAGTGCCAATAAAATGTCTATAACTGAGAATACGTATAGAGGAGAGGAAGACTGATATTCAGGCACTGACATTTATATGTAGAAATCAATATTTTTAAAGGCAGTTACTAATGTTCATAAAACTTGTTTCTTAGAAGTTCATTTTTATTTTATGAATATGCACTTGGACACTGAAGTACGTTGTAAAAAAGATTTAATTTATTAGTTAGACCGAGTAAATGAAATTTATCTTGTCCTTTACTGTAGTCTGAAGTTTCTTCTCTGACTTTTGCCTCGAAATGCTGTAAAAAAGAAGATACAGTTGTGTAGGTTGTATTATAGTAGATAGGTTGTATTTTATTTGCTACTATATTATGTAAATGTGTATTATTAACTTACTAAAAGTACAGGATACCTTCCCCACACACTTCTCATATTTTTTTCTGTAGATAACTTGAAGAAGTCTAGAAAATATTAATACTCAGTATAAAAGTACTGTATCTTCTCCAGTTTGAATCCTGCCTTGTTACTTTAGAGGTACAAAAAACCCCACAAACCTATGGTGACATGAATCTTAGGGGGGAAATTTTGAAGCTGACCACAAGATTAAAACTTATTGTACTCAATACCTCCATAATGATGTCTGTATCAATTTTTTATTATTAGTACTAATAATTGTAATTAATTTGTTCTTAATTAGTACTCCTAAAAAAAGGTTCTTTTTTTTCCCCCCAGATGTTTTCTAAGCCTGTTCTCATGATTGTGCAAGCAAATGATGGAACTGGAAGTTTATGAGTGCATTTATTCTGCCATGTCCTGCTTGTGCAGGATCTGGTGTGTGGAATAGTGTTAAGTGTGTGCTGGGTTGACCTTGGCTGGCTGCCAGATGGCCGTCTGTTGATTCCTACAGTTACATTGCAAAGATAAAGTAAACCTGGCATCTACTGAAATGTAGCATTGTCTTGCTGGGTAGTGAGCCTTAGGATGATTTGTGGGTCCAAGTGTGTGCTTCGGTTACCACCCAGACCATATAACAACCAGAGAATTAGGCAGCTCATTCAAGAATAGAATTGGCAAAGGTGTATTTTTTCTTTATTTTTCTTTTCTCTTTAAGGTGATGTACTCTTGGCTACAGCTTTTCTGTCCTATTCTGGTCCTTTTAACCAAGAGTTCCGCAGTCTGCTATTAAATGACTGGCAAAGGGAAATGAAAAGCCGGAAAATCCCCTTTAGCAACAACTTGAACCTCATAGAAATGTTGACTGATGCTCCAACTATCAGTGAATGGAACCTACAAGGATTACCAAATGATGACTTATCCATACAGAATGGAATCATTGTCACTAAAGCATCCCGTTATCCTTTATTGATCGATCCACAGGCACAGGGTAAAATTTGGATTAAAAACAAGGAAGGCGGAAATGAACTTCAGGTAACAGGAACACTGGTGCTTGCATAATCCCTAGAAACTCTTAGCTCACAAAACATTGTAGTTCAGTGATTTAAATAATACTTAGCAATTGCCTTCTATATAAAATGCCTAATCTGGATATAAAGGGCATTTCAGGTATATTTTGGTAAATGTGAGATTTGACTAGATATGAAAATTTACATTTTAAGCTTATTAGTACCAGTGACTCAATTTGTTTAATGAATTTATTTTAATGAAACATAAACTGTTGGAAGATAGGCTGAATGGCTAACGTCTGATAAGGTCTGAAGCATGTTGCAGAACACTATAAGCATTAGAAAAAAAATCCCAGTAAGTGATGAATACAGGTTCATATAAAGTTTTAAAAAGGAAGATGCACAGTATGGTGTTTTTATCATCTTTTTAATTAGAAATTACTGATAATTTGTGTTGTCTTAGCATGAATGTCAGGTGCTAACTATTCTGCAAATATACAGGGAAGACAGTATTGCAACAACATACAATCTGAGACAATTCAATGTAAACAGGGGAAAATATGAGAAAGTCCTTGCTTGCTACAATTATGATTACACCAATAAACCATCTTTTTAAAAAGATATCCCTGAAAAAGATAAAGAGGAGTTTGAAGGGTGATAATAGAGTGGCTCTGAGAGTATTACTAGGAAACTACTTTCTTTGACATTGATTGTTATCTCTGTTTGGAACCCTTTAATGATTGCCTGGCTAGTTATGTTAAAAAATGAGTATTAGACTGTGGAGTTATGCAATGTGCTTTGTGTACATGTTGAAAATTAATTACAGTTGTACTGAGGACTGCTTTTTAAAGCAAAGACTATTTAATGGCTTTTTTTATTTAAATGCCTAATTTTCAAGGGGAAGAAAAAAAAAAGAGCTCTAATCTGGGAATTGACCTTGCTGCAGTTTGACTTGGGAATGTTATCCGAGATAAAATGAAAGGTGATAAAAGTTTCTTGTTAATTTTTAATCTAGTTGTACTCATAGGACATCAAAAATTTAAGTGCTCAGTATTGCTTTGCTTCTACTTTTGTAGTTGAATAATAGAAGTTTGCGTTCAATGAGATCTGATGCTATCTTTTCTTGTCACAATCTTTGCCTTAATCCCAGTCTAACCATAGGATCATTGTTTATGTCAGTAATTTCAATAAAATGAAATAATTTATAAATACAAAACAAACAAAAACTTCAGTAATTGGCATAATATAATATATAGGTTCATAATTGTGTTTTTAGATCACTTCTTTGAATCACAAGTATTTTAGAAATCACTTAGAAGACAGCCTATCTTTGGGAAGACCTCTTTTGATAGAAGATGTTGGAGAAGAGCTTGACCCAGCACTTGATAATGTTTTGGAGAGAAACTTCATTAAAACAGGTTCAGCCAACAAGGTAGGAATAAAAAAAATGAGCAAAAAGCTGGAAACAGCCCCACCCCTTGCCCTCACGAAATAAATCCTAGTAAGTACATGAGTATAAAAGATTAAACTTGTATTTAAATTTAATGGTAATAAAAAAATAGAGTTTAAGATCACAAGCAGTTTTTATATTTAGCCTATAGTGTTTCTTATCCCTTCGCTTCTGACAGTTTTTTAAAATTGAAATAATCTATGAATGAGTCATTTAAAGTATTTCATAGATATTCTCAACAAATTCTTTGCATCAGACTTATAATTTAAAACTGAATTTTTACAGCTTTGAACAGAAAAATGTAACTTTTGT